ATTTATTTCCATATTTAATTTACTTTGAGGTAGATTTGAATGAGAGATCTGCAATTGTATTGCTTTGTGGTATGATTCTCTTAGATTGAGAGGGGCAAGTCAGGTCAGTACATGACTGCAAGACTTCCAAGGAAATTCTAAGTTAGAATGTGAAAGCAGAGTTTTTTGGCGCTCTTATTTTGAAATTGTTAATGAGCCAAAACTCTAGCATGTTGCAAGGGGAAACATAAGCTGCTAAATGTGCTGCTGTCTTTGTCATAGAGCAGGGGTTGACAACCTGTGGTCCGTTGGCTGAATCTGTCCAGCAAAGCCATTTGATCCAGCTCATGGATGGAGGGCCTCAGCAGCTAATTGGCCTAGTTGGGGTCAGAGGCCAGCAGGTGCTAGAATTGAGCAGCTGCTGCTGTTTTTCCCAGCGGCTGCACAGGGAATACACCTACTGTTATCATTTTTCTCTGCAGGAGCACAAAGGGAGTCCGCAGCCAGTGTTTGTTCCTGCAGTGGCAGGGAAACCTACTGCTACCAAAGCCCCCCCTCTAGTGCAGGGAAAAGTCCTGGCTGCAAACACACTTCACATGTTGCCATGGGGAAAAGTGATGGTGGCAGTGGCTAGTTCCTAGTGTATGCTTGTCTGCTTCTGACCTATACTGGGTCAGTTCAGTCTGCAGCCTGAAAAGTTTGCTGACTAGAGGTACGCCGATACATTGGTCCATACCGTATCAGCACCAATAAAAGGAAAATGGACTTTATTGGCTTTTTTTGGCTGATATGGCCAGTAATGTCACTGATAAATGCCGTGTGTAGCTGCAGCATGCATGCCACCAGCCTGGCAGCTTAGAGCCAGACACTGCTCTCTTAAGTCTGTTGGGGGTGAAGAGGTGGGGGGAGGAAAGAGGGGCGGGCAGACCAAGGCCCCTGCAGTGAGGGAGTGGGAGTGGGCAGGCACTGCCCAGCCAGGGCGAGGTGCGAGATGAATCTGATTCAAGTAAACTACCAAAATAGAATCTTTGTACACGTTAAGAATTCCCCGTGACCTCAGCTTGAATACCATAGTAGTAGGTGGTGAAGAAAGTAGGTCTCCAGGGAGTCACCAGTATTGTCAAGGCAAGCTCCATCAGTGTTGTCACCTGACTCCATTAGTGTTGTTCATGGGTTAGGTCATGTCGGGCTCCCTCAGTCTGGGTGGTCTATGCATGTGCTGTCAGAATACCATCTGGGATGCCGTGCCCTTAACCGCCTCTTTGTTACAAGGAAGTGGCTGCAGGCTTCATAGATTGATAGATGCTAGGGTTGGAAGGGACCTCAACATATCGAGTCTGACCCCCTGCCTAGGCAGGAAAGAGTATGACCCCAGCCAGATGCCTATCCAGCCTTCTCTTAAAGACCTCCAATGTAGGGGAGAGCACCACCTCCCTCGGAAGCACATTCCAAATTTTGGCCACCCTTACCATGAAGAAGATTTTCCTGATATCTAGCCTAAATCTGCTCTCTGTCAGTTTGTGACCATTGTTCTTTGTTACCCCAAGAGGCTCCCTGGTGAACAGAGCATCTCCGATCCCTTGCTGCATCCCCCTAATGAATTTGTAAGTGGCCACAAGATCACCTCTCAGCCTTCTCTTGCAGAGGCTGAAGAGGTCCAGGTCCCTCAGTTTCTCCTCATTGGGTTTGTCCTGTAAGCCCTTAACCATACAAGTGGCCCTCCTCTGGACCCTCTCTCAAGTCTATATCGTTTTTGAAGTATGGCGCCCAAAACTGGACGCAGTACTCCAACTGCAGTCTGACCAATGTCACATAGAGGGGAAGTATCATCTCCTTGGATCTATTTGTCCTGCATCTGCTGATGCTTCGGTTCTTAGTAAAAAAGAAATTGGCCACATTTATCTACAAAAAAATCCAAATGCTAACATGTATGGTGCTAGTTGGGTCATTTACAGGCTTGGCACAGGCATGAATGTAACCCTTATGTAGTCGAGTACAAAGGGTTCAAAGGCATCTTTTCATACACTGATCAAAACAACTTCTATGTCATGCACATCCTATTTCTCACCAATTAGTACACCCTTTCCACCAACTAGGGGCACCTCTTTGCCAGGTCACTTTGGTCTTTGGTTTGGTGTTCTGTACTGGATCTTACCAATTCACTGTTTATCGTTTGCCCTTAGAAGCCCTTCTAAAACTAACAAGCTACTTCCCTAGCCTTCTGTGCAAGCTATGTATGGTATACCTAGTTTTGTACAGGAGACCCTTGCTGTTCACGGAGGATACGTTCTGGCAATACCCGTGAATGGCGAAATCCTTGAAATACTGACGGGGCTCCCTGTCAGACCCCACAGCCAAACCCTGCTCCCCCCTCATTGTTTGCAGGGCTCCCTCACAGCGCCTGGGGACCGACCCCTTGCCCCCGAGCGCTGTCGCAGCAGCTCCAAGCACCACAACGACCGCCTCCAGTGGCGGAGAAAATGCTGCTGCCGCCTTCCTCCCTGTCCCCGGTGCTCCCCTGCAGTGCCTGGGGACTAACCCCTTCCCCCACAAGTGCTGCTGTGGCTGCCTGCGGGGGAGAAGATGCTGCCGCCACTTCCCTCCGCATCCCTGGCACTCTCCACCCACCTCCTGGCTCTGCCCTCCCCCCTAATATTTGAATCTGTGAACCTGGAGTTCGCGAATAGTGAGGGTTTCCTGTATTTGGATCAGTTCATAGTTGGTCTTGTTTAGTGGCTAGGCCACCAGGGGAGCTGTGGGACCCAGAGCCACATGGGAGGGCAGGAGCTAGAATTCAATTTACCAATCTGAAAATTACGACACAATACAGGCATGTATTTACACATGCGTGCCTGTACTCCACACTAAACATGATACAGGTAGCAAATTTACTCCCAAGTAGTTACTGCACAGTAAGGCATGTGTAGATGCCTTACTGTGCAGTAACCCTGTTTGTGTGAACTGACTTGGGAGCAACTTACTCCCAAGCTGTTACGCCCACAGTATTACTGCATTGTAACACCTACATGTATAGATGGTGGTCTAAAAGTCGCTTACTGTAAATGCATGTGTAGACACGCCCACCGAGTACAAGATTGAACTTGCAAGAATATGTAAAACAGTTTTGCCATCAGGTAGCTTTGCAGAGCTCCTTAGAGCAAATATATGAAGACACTGGTATTATATTGCCAAGTTCTTACTGAAATTGCAGTTATCTGTGTTTTGCAGGAACAATGTCTATAATAAAGCCTTTCTCTTTTTTTCTTTTGTCTTTTTTTTTAACCCTCATAGGGTGGTTGTACACATGACAAGGGTTTAGTTCCCTAAATTGAAATGGTGGGTTTTTTATTGAAATGATTAAAAACCCATCATTTCAATTTAGGGGCTTCTTTCAGTCATGACAAGGGGCTTGATTTAGTTGGGGGATAAAAAAGTCTGCCTACCTCTCCCATAGCTGGGGGTGTGAACAGCCAGCAAGCCAAGCCACCCCTGAGTTGTGGGGGGGCCCTGGTCCTTCCATAGTGGTAGTGCCCCTTGAGCTGCCCAGGCAAGCTGTTAAGGGGCCAGGGGCTGCTCCATCTTGGGCTTGGGGAAGAGTTGGATCGGGCTGGACGCTGCTTCTGATCTGTGGCAGGCCCCGGCCTGCTAACATATCCCCAGGCAGCCCTCTGGGATGCTACTGACGCAGAGGGAAGGACCAGGGACCCTGGCAGCTTGCCCACTGGCTGCAGGCAAGCTCCATGGGGGGGGGTGGGATTGGGCCATTCGCTGCTGCTTCTGCCCCCCGCTCCCCTTCTGGTAGAGCCAGCCTGCCTGCATGAGCTGCCAGTTGGCTGAGCAGCCCCTGAGCTGCAGGCAGCCCCCAGGGCTGCGCGGGCAGGCAGCTAGCGTGCTGCATGCTGCCTCATCCTGGAGGCAGCATCCAATGGATCCAACTCTTCCCTGAGCCCACTGGGGCTTCCAGGGCACCGCGCACCATCCCCACCACCTGGGGCCACCCAGGAATGGGCTGGCTTGCCCCTGGAGCAGCATGGGGAGGCGGCAGGAAGGCAGCTGGGTGTGCTGGCAGTGCTGGCGCACTGGAAACGCACCAAACCTGTGCTTCCCCAAGCCCGCTCGGGGTTCCAGTGGACCATGCCGCATCCCTGCTGGCTTCTCTAGCTGCCAGCACACCTAGCCACCCTCCTGCCACCTCCCTGTGCTGTCCTGGGGCAAGCCAGCCCATTCCCGGCCAGCCCCAGGTGGCAGGAAGACAGTAAGGATGGTGCACTGTTCGCTGGAAGTCCCAGCGGGCTAGAGGATCAGTTGGATTTGGCAGGTGCTGCCTCCAAGCTGGGGCAGCCTCAGCTGGCACTGCTGCTGCAGAGGGAAGGACTGGGATCCCCCACAGCTCACGGGCTGTTTAGCCTGCTGGCAGCTCACCCCCTGGCTGCAGGATAGGTGGGCAGGCTCTGTGGAGGGTTTGGGGGGGGAAGGGGAAGGATTAGGTTCCTTGCCACTTCTGCCTTCAGCCCGCCTCTCCCACGGCCAGGGGGTGAGCTGTCAGATTAAGGGCTGCAACGTTACAAGTAGCTATGTTGTAAACTAAACTACATGGGGATGTGGTTAAGTTTGCAATATAACAAACTCATTTAAAGCTCAACAAACCCCCTTACGTGTAAAGTGTGATGCAGTTAAGCTGCAAAAAAGGGCTATCGTCGTCATGTGTCCAAGTGCCTATACTGTCTATCTGCTAATTAAATTTGGATATACTGGTTGATGACCTATTTTAATTGTAATGCACTTACTCTAAATCACATTTTATTTTCCCTGGCACTTTTTAAAATGCTTACTAGATCTAATAAAGCAATCATGTGAATTAGTTCATGTTCATACAGCCTTTTTTAAATAATCTTAATTCACTAATAATCTTTTTTAGGCTAGTCCATCCATCATGGAAGCTGAAGAGATGATGGAATACATTCAAGAGTTCCCAGAACATTATAAAGTTATTTTGGACAGACTCAATGAACAACGGGAGCAGGATCAGTTTACAGATATCACCCTGATTGTAGATGGTATGTATTGCTCTAGGAACCTGTTGATACAAATATAATTCTGAAAGGAATGGAATTTTTCATTATGATTTTTGTCACCTATTAGTTTAAGATTTGCCCAGTTTGAGAACCAATATCTTCCAGTTTCATAAAGTAGTACTGTAAATTGCAAGTAGACTTCTGAATACCAAAGATGATAAAATTCTAAACTAACTGTCTGATGAATCGTGCTAAGAGTTTAATAGGTATCAGGAGCACTAAATTATAGTTGTGTTCATTCTGGTCCTATTGTTCATAGCAAAACAAAAGTTTACATTTTCTGAAGTCCTGCCTAAATCAACCTAGACAAAATGCCTTGCACTTACCACCTGTATGTATAGGTAGGGGAAAATAGGAAATGAGGCCACAAGAGATTTGCTATCTAAAAGAGGCATCCTGATGGAGCTTGATCCATTCTCCAGTCCTTCCCAAGTAAAAAGAATTCACCTCTGCCCCCCCCCCCAGTTCTTTCAAGCTCTCTCTCCTGCTCCTCTTGAAGTGTGGGGAGAGGGGATTCCCTTACTGTAATGCAATTCTTCCTTTTATGTCAGGACTAATAGTGAAGTACAGGTTTCCTTCACTTTATGCTGTACATGCATTCCTGGAAAAAGCTGCATAACTCAAATTCGCATAAAGGGAACCCACTGTACAATGTAGCAAATAGGGGTAGATTCCAAGACCTCAACTGTACTGATCCCCAGACCCATTTCTACCACTTTTACAAGACAGTTTTGGTACTTGCCAACAGCAGACAGTACACACAAGTACAAGGCACTCATAATGGGGATGGCAGCTACAGAAACACATCACAGACAACGAGCAAGGAGCACAGAGCCATACAGGAGACTATTTTAGTGCGTTTCATTCCCACAATGCAATGTCCAAAGCAGCTGACTGGGCTTCCCCCACACACTGAGCACATAAGAGTGAATTTACCTTGCATATAACGAATTTTTGGTATAAAAAGGGTCATCGCATAAGAGCGAATTCGCACATACAGAACACTCATAAAGCAAGAGATACCTGTATTCAGTCTGGGTATTTTTTCTTCCATTTCTTTTAGTTGTCAGGCTAAAATGAGTCCCTGTCTGACAGTTCTCCAGCCACATGTAAGCAATCTTGTAAGTTCTGTCAAGATTTGGAACACACCATCTCTCCCGTACCAAAAGGGGACATACTTGTTATCTTAAGTGTGACCTCGGTGCATGTCATAAGTCAGGCCATCAAATATATCAGCATATTATTGACAAACACAACACTAGTAATACAACAGCCAAGGTATACAACAGCAAAGGGAGGTTCTGTGTAAAGATGCACCGATATATCAGTCCATATCGGGGGTTACGGAGTAGACTACAGCCACCCCAAAATTCCAGTCTGGGAAGACTCTGGCATAGCCCCTGGCCCCAAGCCCGCAGCAGGCAGCCCACCTTTGCCCCGTGTACTAATCTGCCTCCCCCAGGGGTGCGCACAGCAGTGGGGAGCCGTCTCCCCTCACTGTCCTGTGGCCCCTGGACAAGCTGCTTACTACTCCATCCTGTGCCCTGCCCCAGCAGGGCAGCACCTACCACAGCCCCATTCCTTCCCTCACTGTGGGGACCTCAGTCTGTTCCCCCATACCCCTTCCCCCACAGACTTTCCAGGTGAACACTGCTCTGTGGGCTTCTTACTGGCTATCAGATTGGTATCAGCCAATATGGTTGTTAATAATCTGCCATTGGTATCAGCCTAAAAAATCTTTATTGGTGCACCCCTAGTTCTGTGCCTTGGACAGTGGTAATGCCCCCATAGTGCAGCTGTGGTGCTGGCCTCTCCCGTTGGTGCAAGAGTAATAGTCTCTGTAAGGAAGTGTGAGTAATAGTCTCTGTAAGGAAGTGTGCTGAACATAATCTTAACATTCCAAGTGCTGTTTTTGGCTCCCAAAATAAACTTGTCATGTGTAGCTCCATTCTAAATATTTGTATTTGAATCTCTACATGATTGTCAGGATCACAAAGTGAATGAGGGGAGCTGAATCCTGGACAGACCATCATACAAAATTCTACCAAACCCTGAGGCAAGAAACTTCTGAAGAAACTAAATGTGAACAGATTGAAAGTTGATACTATAAGAAGAATGCAAAATAGAAAGCTATTTAAATAATGCCACTGCAACTTTTGGTGGCATAGAAGCTCACTGGAATTGCTTTAAGAGTGTTATTTGAACACCCTTGGGTCAACAGTCTGGAAACATCACTACTGGTTCAATGAGAGAACTGAGGATAAAAAATGATTACCTGATGAGAATCATTGCCTATATTTGTCTTTGATGACTAATAAACCATCCCAAACACTTTTTTACAATATGTATAACACTTCTCCAACAAAGTTAAGGCATATGTTGTACTCATTTGCATGTGAGAACAGATGAGATTACTTTTGTACATACTGAAATGTCACACACAGCTTTGTGATGCTCTTTAAGCAATATGTGGGCCTCTTCCAAGTGTTTCAAGTGGAAATACCTTTCTGACTGGAAATAATCAAATTCTAGAAAGCTGGATCGATCACTGAAACTTGTATAATAAGGAATCCAGCAGCAGCACTGAGGCTATAGATCAACTACAATAAGTCACAAATGGAAATTCTCACTACCAAAGTTATCTCAAAGACTGAGAAGGCAGGCGCCTGAATCAAATGTTGGTTTGGTTGAAATCTGTATAGCTGACAGAGGCTATATAATCCAGCAGCTCTCAAAAGAGTTCTTTCAGTTGATGTGGCATAAGAAAACTATTTCTCAAGAATACAAAGATGCTTCTTTTATCAGTATTTATAAGGAAGGAAGTTTTCTTATTAGTGGCTGATGCCAAGTTCCTCGTGAGACTCGTGCTCAAACATTTATTCGTCACATAATTGAGAAAATTTAGCCTGACAGCCAGTGTAGTTCCAGAAAAGGAGAGGAGCAGTAGATATGATCTTTGCTGCACAGCAAATACAGAAGAAACAGAGTGAGCAGGAACATTCAAAGATAAGCAGAGACACAGTAGAGGTCAAAAATTTCACACCAGCAGAAAAAAACCCATAGAAGCTTCTAAGAGTGACTGCCTTGAGAATATCACTGCAGTGATTAGACAGTTTCATAATGGGGTGAAGGTAAGATTGATGGAAGATACCCTTATCTTTCGTTCACTTCCAGTAATTAATAGTATATAACAAGGCTGAGTCTGTGCACCCCCACTATCTAGCATCTTGGGCCAGTGGTTGCTTTTGTGATCTTAATAAAAGTTTTTGGATTATATTCAGATTTGAAGGAAAAACTGATTAACCCCAAACAGCTGTGAGCAAGGACAAATGTATTGAGAAATGTGTTCATGAGCTTCTGTTGGCTGTTGATTTTGGTTGCCCATTCTCTGGAAGCTAGCAGTCCATGTAACTTAATGCTACATTTTGATTGTTAACCTTAAAAAAAGAAAATAGAGGTCTGCTCCTAATACCAGTCTGCTCCTAATAAGCTGTACATATCACCAATGGAAGGCATTTACTTCACGTGGCAATTTAAGTCACCTACTTGGATAGCAATCTCTAAAGCAAAGTTTACATTAATGTTTCCAACCAACTCACTAAAGCTAGCACAGTCTTTAGAAAAGTATGTAAATGTCTTTGTAATGGAAGAAGCATATTTTTTCATCCCAAATTGTAAGTCTACAAGACAGTAGTTCTGATTTCCTTACCTTGTGTTTGAGTTATGGGTACCCTTCAGCCAACATGTTAAGGAGGTGAAACATTTCCATCCAAGTTGTTTGAGAAAGCTTATGAATCTAAGATGGCACAATTGAATTGTAAATACTTAAGGTTTTTTGCCTATACTTAGCATGAAGGCACAGTTCTGGTCATGTGGTTAGGATTCTGGTCTCCTTCTATTAGTAAATACCTTGGCTAGCAGAGCTACATAATCCAGCATCTCCCAGATTTTTTCAGTTGATATGTCATGAAAAGAACAGTCAATCTCCCAAGAATACGAAGATGCTTCTGCTGCCCATATTTCAACTAAAGATGAAACATTCTTCAGTTTTGAAAGAGAATGACAAAGCAGTCCCAGAATCTTCATGTGTTCTGCTTTCTCTTAATTTATATCTGCATACTTCAATGACTAGAATCTGATCTTCATTGCAATGCATGGAAAAAATGGAGCTGAGAGGGATGCTGGATATGCTTGGTGCTTATGGAAATGAAGCATTTATAATAAAAGAGTACTGATCTGGTAATAGAGCCACTTCTCCAGACAAGTATCTAGATATCTGTTGATAATAAAATAGTTCCCAAATGGCTTGCATTTTTCATTCTTTCGTACTATGGTTTACATGCTATGTTATATTAACTTTTTTTTTAATTTCAACCAATAATCATATCTGCATTGGAAGAGGAGTACGAGTTTCTGTGCTGTGTGGCTTACTTCAAAGCAGGAGTACTGCTTTCAGAGAATTACTGAAATATGGCTAGTCACAGGCTTCTATGTATCCACCTAGTATTTAAATGTAGAATTAAAATAAGGCTGACGAATTTGCCTCTATATTTTTCGTGTACTCTGGAGGCATAAGGAGGAATGTATTAATTTCTTATATTCTCCATTTTCTTCTGTCCCATTGGAAAATAAACAGTAGTTGAGTTGACAGTAGTTGAGTTATACCACATTTTTGTACAAACAACAATATTAGTAACAAGCACTCCTATCAGATATATTCATTTTAGTGTCAGTTGTTCATGCTGGGACAAGGATGAAACATTGCCTAAAAGGGCACATCCCTACTCAGTCTTGAGTTAGTTGTTTCCCTGCCCTTTACAAAGGCTGGTAGGAGCTCAGTTGAAGAGGAGAATTGGGGAAACTCTCACAGAAGCTATGCTTGAGGAGAAAGCACTGAGTCTGTAGAAAGGTAGAGAGCTAGGAAGGGCTGAGAGTTGAGCCCAGCAGCTATGGAAAATCTTCTGAAGGTTTTTCTTGTATTTGCTTTCAAGATATCCCAGGAGGGATCAACTCTTGCTGCAGTAACTTGGTCCTCCTACTGTATTACATCATTTAATTTGCTGAAGCTATGTGTCAGTGGAGATCCAATTAACTGAAGCAGGGTGAAGTAGCATGCTATGCCACAGGGTGGCACCCAGAGTGCACCTTCCTATGATAGACTTGGATGCTGATTTCATTGTAGCTATACTTTTTTGTCCTCCCCTGAATCCATTGCATAAGCTGTACTATGAATGATCATATGTTGACTTAAATCATTTTATTTTCAATTTTATCTTTCTAGGCCATCATTTCAAAGCCCATAAAGCTGTTCTTGCAGCCTGCAGCCAGTTCTTCCATAAATTCTTCCAAGACTTCACTCAGGAACCTTTAGTAGAGATTGAAGGTAACCTGTTTTATACAAATCCAAATGTGCGTAGTTCCAAACAAGAAATAACTATAACATTAATAACACAGACTGATGTATAGGCATTGGTGGTACTAACCACCTTGCTTTATTCTTGTTCTCAGGCACCAACTGTCAACAAAAGATTTCTTTCAAATATAAAGTTTTAAGGACTTATTTTGAGTAGAGGCTGATTTTTCCCTCCCTTTCCCCATGCTCCCTTCTTTCCCCAATGGCAATAGCTGTCTAGTGGAGATTCACTCCCTACAAACTTCTGTACATAGCTAATTCAGGGGAAGGGGTGATTACTTTCCTGATGTGTCACATTTTTCAGACATTAAGTTAATTGCATGATACCTTTATATTACGGGGTGCATAGTACCTATATTAGAGGGAATCTAGTGAGTGAGCTTTTATCCAAGTTCCAGTGTGTCCAGTAGCCGACTTTGTGAAGCCTTTGCAAACATTTCAAGAAAGTAGCTTGCAGGAGCCATTCAACAGGACAAAAATCTAGATGACAGAAAAAGATTGGTAAGCAATAAATAACTCTTATATCTGTCACATAAAAATTAATATCTGAGTAAATTGTAAATGCAGCTTGATGTTTTGCTCGTAAACAGGTGTAAGCAACATGGCATTTCGTCACTTAATTGAGTTCACCTACACAGCAAAACTCATGGTTCAGGGTGAAGAAGAAGCAAATGATGTTTGGAAAGCAGCTGAGTATCTACAGATGTTAGAAGCCATTAAAGCACTTGAAATTAGGTAAGCTTATAGTTTACTTATACTTCAGTGTTATCAGATGTGTAATAGCTGAGGAAGATTTGTGGCTGAAGCTGGCAGCCAGCTGTACTGTGCTGTTTTTTTCTCTAAGAATTTCGGTAGTGTCCTTTCAAAGTCTAGTATGAGGCCTTTAAGCCTTCTCCTGTGGGGAGGGAAAAGGAAAAGAAAGGGTAAAACTGAGCTCCAAACTTTGTGAGTTGGTACTTGGTGTCTGGAACATGGCTTATAAGTCCTGCTGCACCTGAACATCTGTGGAAAAAAGAATGCAACCCTGGAGAGCCTTTTCCTCTTTCGTGCTCTCTGGAGATCCTTCTTTTTCTTCATGCTCTTTTAGGTTGGACAGGTGACATATTGATCTTTATTTGATCTTTCCACCAGTGTAAAAGTATAGACTCCTAAACTGTACTTTCTCCAATCTAGCATAGAATTACCCCCAAAAATTCAGAGTTAGAACTATGTCAGTATAAGTTACACTAGCGTAGAGGTTAAGTATTTGCAGCAAACTATGGTAGCCATTTGCACAGTGCAAACAGGCTGTTACCAGCACCCCTGCCACTCCCACTGACTGTGTGCTACATTGAAAAAAGCTGCTTGTCTGTGTGCTCTAAATGCTGGTGTAACTTTAGTACAAACCTGAGGTAAATTACCCAGATGGTAATATGTGGTGTGTCCAGGCCCCTAGAGTTATTCCACACTTCCTACTCCGCTTCCTATGATGGGGAAATAATGTTGCTTCTAAACCCAACAATCATACCCCACTTTTCCATTCAGGCACTCATGGAGGTGAGTGTCTGTAGGCACTAAGAAGAAAGATGAGTATGAGGGAAAGCTGTTTCTTCCTTTCTATCTCTCCACAGTGGCCTCTTCACCAGATAACAAGTTATTTAACATTCAGCAGTGTGGAGAAACTATTGACTTCTTTCCTATCCTAGGGCATTTTTACACATGCAAGTGCCGTACCACTGAGCACTTTGAAAAGCACTGGTGCTGCATCGCTTGCAGTTATATAAGCAGCAAAATGCATCAGTGCTGAGAAAATGGCAGTGGTGCACTTTTGAAGTAAAACACAGAAAAGGTGTTTTAGTTCAAAAGCGCATCACCGCCATTTTCTGCACGCTGATGCACACTTTGCTGCTTATACAACTGCATGTGGCGCAGCACAGTTTGCATCAGCTCGCATGCGGAGCAGACTCAATTAATCAACTCTGCTCCAAAGTGGCGGATCTCCAACACATAACAGGACAAAAAGGTATGTGTATAAATGCCCCTTATGCCCATTGTAAGTAGGTATTTAAAAGAAAAACTTAGTGGCCGTATCCCCGCAAGCAGGAGCATGCAGGTTACAGCTCCTCAAAGCCTTTTGAGGTGCCGTGAAACACACACGGTGCTCACGATTGTTTGCCATGCTGCATGTTTGCAGCCCAAATGGTATCTAAAATATGAACATGGCTGCAGCCTGTGTTGCCTGAGCCCAGAGCCTAGCCAGCCAGAGCCAAGCTCCAGCTGCTAGCCAGGCTCTGTATGCCTGGATTGCTGCTGCTGCAGCCCCAGGAGGCCCCCAGAACCCCAGATGGATCTGCTGATGCCAGCTCAGGTGCTGGCCCCAGCCCCCCCCTACCCCACCTGGGTCAATTTAGTGTGTGCGCCAGCGCACGTGGTGGTGCGCCTGGGGACAAACTAGCAGCAGCACAAATATGTGCTGCTGATATTTGTCCCTGGGGAAATACACATTCCCACTTGTGGGGACATGCCCAGTGATGCTACAGATTAGGAGTTATGTTTTCAACATCAATATTTAATTTGTTCTGCAGATTGGCAATAGAGTTTAACATGTAATTTGCAATTTTCCTGATGTAGGAAGGGAGTGCAAAATAATGCTAATGGCAGGGGTAAGAACCAAGTTTGGCCAGTTTTGTTCCTAGATAAACAGCCACATGTAAAAGTCTAGATTTAGAAACCTCTATTGCAAGCAGCTGTTGTATCTTCACTAAAAACATAAATCCAGCATCACTATTTGCAGTTCATAATTTACAGTTCCATTGACTTGGAAGATGGAGAATAGGCTTTATTCAAGATCTCACATACTAGTTGTAATGCTGCAATATTTGAGTTGCAAGGAAATTATAAATATTTGCTTTAAAAAAAGCACAAACATATTATTTTAGCAGTATTTTCCTTGGTGTTAGATTTTGTAAGTGCTTTATTTGTTAGAAAAAATAAACTTTGGCTAAATTTTTCCTCGACTGTCCATTTAGTCTCTGTCCTAGTTTATCCATCTCTAATATGAAGTACTGAAGCAAAAATAATTTAACTGAGCTAACAGTCCCTACTTTCAAACAGAAGGCACATGATTCACAGTGAGAGCTTCTTGGCTAGAGAACTCTTGTCAATCATGGATCCATAAAAGTGACTAATGGCTTTAACACTTTTATGTAAAAGATAAAACACAGTCTAAAGGACAAATTTAAGAGCTGGATTCTGTTCCTTATCTTGGTTTCTTGTTTGTAAGCTGGGATAGGAGTGCAGCAAGGTTTCTTGTTTGTAAGCTGGGCTAGGAGTCAGGAACTAGGAGTGCAGCAAAGTTTTCTTTTCATCATCTTTTGGCATCAAACTCTGATTAAGGAGCATCTTTGCACACATCTCGCTTTTGGGTCAACCAGTCTTTCCAATCAGAAAAAATGGCTGTGGTGCATATGAGCAAACTTGAGTGTTCTGAGGGGTAGAAGAATAGGAGAACACTTGGCAGGAAAGGAAAAAAATAGATGATGATTTCTACTATGAAAGCTGTCTACATGTTGATTCTGGACCTCTTCAACTACATCTGTTTGTAAGTGATTTGATACAGCATAATCTCATAGTGCAGAAATTCCAAAATTAAGTTGGGTTATAAACCCTGCAGATAGATACTTGGTCACTCAGGATGGGCTCAGACTGAAAGTTGCTGGAGTGTGGATGAGTCAAAGAACACTGAAGTGACGTTGCAGTTCAAACAAGATTAGTGACTGCTTCCTTGTTTGAATGTACTTAAAACTAGTGGGGACCACTAGATCATCAACTCTGACCTCCTGTATATGACAGACCATTAAGTTCCAAGCAGATATCTCATATCAAGAACTAGGACTATATTTTTGCTAAATGTTTTTGAGGACTCAAATAAAGTGCATACTAAAGGCAGAAAACAGGAGAGTTTCAAGATGCCACCATGGCTAGAGTTCTCTATAATGCAGGGAATCAAGAAGAGATAATGTTCCATGCCGCACATAAAGAAAAGTGCAGTTCCCTAAGTCTTTCAGTCTAACCAGGGTGAAATATATTTCCAGTGCTAAAGCTGACTCTTGATGGTATCCTGGGCATATGAGCAAGATGCACTACTTTTGCACATTTTCTTTGTGCCCTTGAAGATCACAGGAGACCACCTCTCTAGCTGCAGTCTCTGTTTCTTCAGAAGAAAAATGAAAAAAGTTCCAAAAGCCAAGTAACATATCAGCAGTGTGAAAAGGATAGAGGCAACTAGCAGGAGTCTTGAAGCATGAAATTTGATTATAAGTTGTCATCTCAATGCAGAACTGGAGGTATTATGATCACCCAGGGTACAGCACAAGCAAAGCCCCTGGAAGGCAGAGGGTGATCAGGGGAACTTAGATCCCACTCTGGGCCACACAAGCCAAAGGTGGTGTTTGTTTTGTTTTTCCCCTCCCAGCCTTCCTTGTTCCCTCCCCACAAGCATCAAGTGTAATGTTTTACAGGTATTCTGAGTGTTTGTTTATCCCCATCAGAAACTAGTTAGCCTGATGGCAATTCTTTCATTCTTTTGGGGGCCTGATATTAGATCATGCCTTCAGTCTATCTTGGGTAGAGCTGTTTAAAATGCCTTGGCAACTTCAAGTAGAAGTGGTGTTGCAGACCTTCTGTCAGACATGCTGCATTAGCCCTGACATTCAGCAGCAG